TACTGCTCAACTTTTTTAGGAAACGGTAGGAAAATCACAATTTGTACATGTTTTAATTCATCTTGGTGGCTTTTTGTTTACAACCGGTGTTTTTGAATGCTTAAACTTTGTTTGGATTAGGCCCGAAAATATTAATGTCATAAAGAAAGGAGGTCAAGAATCCTCAGGAATACGATTTTAAATTACCACCACAACTTCAGACAGGTTTTATCCAAAGATATAAAGATGAATTACATAGATTGAACACAACGCCATCATTGACCTAGGATACTGCAATTAGACTAACCACCCTTTTATGAAATCTAAACAGTTGTTTGGCGTGTGTTTAGTTGTGGTTACGTTTGGAGACGCTGAATATTTGATATAGACAATTAATTACGTCACTAGCTTTACTAGCGTGTTTACGTTTTAAATTCCTTTTAACATGTGACCAGTTCTTTTTTTCCAAATGAATATTATTTTATTTTTGACTCAGCTGTTTACAAAACAAACTATATGTTGTTGTTTTTACTTTTCTTTGTTTACACTTATTTATTTAGCTAGCAATTGATGCAGTAAAATTGATATAAAGGATATGTGTGGACTATTCGTTTAATGATGTAAGGACACCAACGTTATAATTATGTGTACTGTGAATTTTATTGGACGTTTTCGTTTTACTTTAGGGAGTTTCTATTCAGATCTACTAGAAATTGTGTATAGTATGAGTAATTGTATTGTGGTGATATTGATTACGGAAGAAGCAGGTATGTGATGGAATTGGAAGGTGATATCGTTGACTAGGCCTATTCACTTTCTCAACTGATAATTACTCTTTCTACTGTAGGCTGCTATAAAATTTGTCAAACGTGTAAGCTAGCTGTTCTGAATTATACCACAGATAAAAGGAGTATAGACACAGTTTTAACTGACTAATCCCGTACGTAGGACGGGCTAACACCTCGTATACGTTAAAACTATTTTCCTATTATTCTCCATATTATTTTTTTTTAATATGGATTATGGTTTGTAAGGATTACTAGTGTATTTTATCTTATTTTATTTAAATAAATCAATCATTTACAATTTAGCCTACTTGCTGTGTTGGTGGGGTTTTTTTTTTAATTAAACATCTCTCACCAGTTGATATTTGTAAGGGGAATATAGTATGTGCTGTTGTATTGTGCTGTCACATGTAAGTACCTTAAGTATAGTTTTTATTAACTAAAAATTCAAGCCAAAACAGAATAAAATTGTGATTTTTAATATCAAATGAGGGGCTAATAAAACGTAAAGAATTGACCCATTGTTTTAATTTGTTTAGATTGTTTTTATTTTTTATCCCCACTGCTTAATTTTAACGTATATTAAAGGAAATTAATTGTCTACAGCATCGATATTCTTTTCGCTAAAACGCATCAAAACGGATATATAGGCAAGAATCTCTAGAAAGTGCAGATTTTTTTCAATTTTTCCAATATAGTGGTAGGTGCAGAGGGAAGAAAATTATGCATTTTGCATTTAAACACCTACTTACCATCCTAGACAACATATACAAAATTTAGAACTACCGGACCATTTGTAAGTTAACAGACAGACCTCTTCACTGGACTAAAGAACTGTATTTTTCATCACGTTCAAACATTTTTTTTAACAAACTAAGTTTGAAAACAATAACATACTTCTTTATTAGGGCCTAAAGTGACTTTTTTTGACCCGAGCTCAAGGTTTAAATGCATTATTACTAATGAACGACAAGCAAACTATATTACAAAACTGAAATAGCTTTCATTTAAAGATAACCTACTACTTCTAGCTTGTTTCCAATTTAATTTGCCAATGGAAAAAAGCAGCTGTAGTAAGTCATGCAATCGTTACGTCTATAACGATTGTGTTAGTGTTCATTATCAACATGTCAAACTATTTACAATTAGGCAACAATTAACTACAATACTTTACATACATTGTAAATCTTTTACATACTTTCGATACATCTGATTTTGTTTACAATCGAAATTAACAACTTAGTTGACAACAGCTGATTTTTACTCCTTATGGAGTAAAAAAGTTACTTTAGACCCGCAAAGCGTGCATTGAAAACTGATGTTTTTGCTGCAGAATTATGAAAATATACTTCTCATATTAAGATCACCTATCAAAGAAACTTCGAGCGTTTTTTTTTTGCAATTTTTATAGTTTTAATAAGCAGCTGTTCGGAGTTCGGTAAGTAATTCAATAATTTCACCAATTCTTAGGGTAATTTATCAATATGTCAAACTATTGAAATAATGCAACAATAAGCTACAACCGATTAAATCAATCGATAACTAATCTTTATAACCAATCGATACAAGTAATTGCTTACAATTGAAGTTTACAACAACTGACTTTTACTCCTTAGGTCCTAAAAAGGTTTTTACTCCCTAGGAAGTCAAAGACTTTAGGCCCGCAACGCAAATATTAAAAACCGCTATTTTTTGCTGCAGTATGACGGACAAATAACGTGACAGGTGAATAAAAGAGAAAAAATAACGGGATCAGCAATCTGACTCATACTTTCACCCATTAACATGTCGCAACCTTTATCATCGGTATGCGGGGGGAGTAACTTTGATATTTTATAGGGAAAATCAGAAAAATTGGTAATAATTTTGAAACAGTAATGTCTATAGCAAAGGGGGTTGCGCTATTTTGTTTGGGGAATTAAAACAACCATAACAAACTAAGTTAATGAAAACTGCCTTTTTTTCCAATAATCCATTTTTTATTTTACGGAATTTATGATGAAATGACCTAAGTTAAAATAAAATGTTGATCCATAATTTTAACAGCAATGGAGGGTTGCACTACTTTGTTCAGAATTATAATGACCAAAATATAATAATTTTAATAAAAACCCATTTTTTATTAGATTTTCTGTTACTTAACTTTTAACAATAACATAGGTTAAGTTAGTTTAAAATAACATAAGTTACAATAACCTTTAAAGCAATGGGAGTTGTAAGGACTTTGAGAATTTTTAAGGAGTATAAATACTAAAATTGTACCTAAATCATTCGGGCTTTTTGTGGGAAAATTATATTTTTCCGTTATTTTATGGGATTTATGGAAAAATCACCATTAAAAATCGAAGTTTCGGTAAAGTTTAGAAAAAAATTCCTGCAGATAACATGGATTAGTACCGTGAAGGTATGAATCAAAATCGGACTACAGGAGTGTACACACCCACATACAGAAATACATCACTTCGAAAACCACTTTTTTGTTCAGGGGAGCCCAAAACTAATATATCCACTCAAAACTTTAATTTGAACTTTTTTACGAAAACAATACTTTCTCCCCTAAACAATAGTATAGGAGGAGGAAGTAATAAACTTCTAAAATAGTTTCTTTGATATTAACAACAGATTATTGTCTTTCAGATAAGCCTTGCGACAAAGAAATGAAAGGAGTGCACAGTTTACTTACAGTGGCGAATAAGATGGGATATATTGAGGACAAATTTTTGTATTACTATGTCATTCATGGCAAAAGGCGAGCTTTCGTTCATGGTGAAGTGAGAAAAGCCTAATTTTTGCAACCAATTAACTATTGGAAAATACCCCCCCCCCCTTTGTTTGTAAATTAAAGGGTAGTTTGCAATATATAGCATATGATTTTGAAATAAAATCGTAGTTCTCATAATAAATATACCTTAATCTCCAAGTATTTCAAGGGGTGCCTCCATAGCGTTTTTGTGAGCTAGGATTAAAGTTGAACCATATTTGAAAAAAAGTGTTTTAGCAACTACGTTTAAGTTTTAATAGGCAAAATTTATACTAAATAAAATACCCATAAAATGTAAGAAAAGAGCAGATTCAAAATTCACTGTGTAAAGAAGGTGTGCGCAATTAGCCTAAGTTCTTTACTGTTCTGTTTTATAGACATCCTGAATCATACAAAAATATCAATGGCTTGTCATGGCCCGTATAGATTTTATGTCTAATTGTTAGATATGAAACTTTGTATTTAAACGTTTGTTTAAGTGTAATACGTCCTGTTTATGACAAAAGATGGGTTTTAAATAAAGTTTTCTCATAATTTGTAAGAACGGTTTATTTATTTGCAACAATCTTATTGTGATAGACTTCTCCTGCTTGTTTGGATACCTTGAGACTAAAAGTCCGAACTAACATAAGACAATAGAAAAATGAAACTACAGTAATAAAACAGCACTTTGTGTGGACTAATTAGTGAAATACTAAAATTACAATCTACTAAACAATAAAGCAATATAGCGATATTATATTCATCAATAGGTGTACAAGTAGTAACTCATTTGTTTTTGAGATTACCAACAAATTGATCATTGACAGGCGGTTTAAATAAACAGATCTAAACATGAAAGAGTCTACTATTTAATTTCCGATGAAAAATTATTGTTTCGATCTAGAATTGAACCAATTGACTCCACACTCTGCGCAGATTTAAACAAAAACTTGTCTTTTTGGCCGTTTGGGTACAGTTTTCAGATTCCATCCCGATCAGGATCAACGGTGGACCTTGATGCCATTGTCATTGGGCTACCAATTGTAATGTTACTTTCAACACTAGATAGTATCAAAGCCAAAGATTGGATTGTTCCTTTACAAAAATATTAACGATACCATTAGCCACGTAAAACAATGGAAAGTTTTATAAATAAAAACATTGTCTACGTAGAGCATAAGAGCAATCTATGCTCTCCAGTTAAAATAGAATGCAGTCACATCCAATTAAAGATATAACTAGGGATAAGGCTTTAATTTGTATGCTTAATAATTATAATTATATAATATTGCAACTATTATCCCTGCCATATTTTATAATTTAGTATATTAATCTTCTCTAAATGATTAATCAAAATCAAGTCAAGTCTCAAGTGTTAATTTTTTTCTGAAAATATAAATCAAAATAAATACTTGTGTTTTAGTTTCCCAGTTAAAAGATGTTTTAAAAGTCCAAAGGATTAATGTACATTTGATCAAACATATTATTTGCAGGGAATAATATCGATCGAGCCTTGTCGTTTGGAGCCTCGCACATATTCATGTGGGGAACCAAGGAAGAATATCTAGACCCGGATTGCATGATTCATTGGGTTGTGAATGAAGAGATTGTACACAAATACCCAGCAAAAAATGTCTACCAAGTGATGCAGTTGAAAGCTGAGGAGAGGGAAAAAGAAAGAGTTCGTAGACAGGGAACTTCACATGCTTTTTGATTCACAAATCCAAATTACTCTCACATGTCATAACAAACTTTTATTAAAATGTTACTCCAAACTTTAAAACAGTAAATGGAGGGAAATACGGAAATACAGATAGAGAAGAGGTATAATAATTTTTTCAACAAACACAAAAACTATACACATAGACTGTAAAACGTTGTTGTTAATCGTCTATGATGTATTTCAATCTCTGTGTTGTTTTGAAACCATAACGAATAGGCTTTTTCTAAACACAGCAGTAAAATTGGTAAGATGGAAATTAAGTCATCCTTTTATGAGACACACCGTTTGTTTCCTTTTGAAGATGTGGGCAGCCTCTTTTAACCTTTTACCTGTCTTCCTTTTAATTTTAAATTGTCCTCAGGGAGTGAGACATACCAATGAAAGCATGTGGTGAGTTGGACTAGCACAATGATGAATACATATCCACGCTTGGTGCCAACACGTTAAACAAAACCCCTACATTGTTATAATGGAGTTCTCCTACTGACTAGTTTACCGACTCATCTGTAATTTTGATCTCTTTGTTTTCCCTCCCAATACTAAGACTGGAAGGCAAGCTTAAAACTGCTACACTTGGACTATGGGATTATCAAAGTATATACTACATAAGTTAAGTCTGATCAATGTCCAAGCACTGAGAGTGGTCGAAATAACTTTCTTGTTGGGGGACAACAATGAACAATGTAAGGTTGGGGATTCGAATCCTGCATCAACCATGGTGAGGTCATCAGCCTGTGGAAGATATTAGGGTGGATACTCTCCTAATATAAACTGTGGACAGCTCGGCAGGAAGTTGGCCTTATGTGTGGTAGTTGTTGTTATCCCACTCCAAATCAGGTGTTTTTGGTTACTGTTATGTTTATCCTTACTGTGAGTATAAAAACACAAATACTCCCGCCGCAGCAAACCTGCAGACTTAGCGAATTTCCATTTGCCTGAATGGATTTAGACTAAAATGTCTCCTTAAAAATATCACATTTATTCCCTATTTAAACAGAATTAGTTTAATGAGTACTTAGGTTTGCTGCAACAGGGAGGGTAAAAGAGTTGTTTTTATGTAAAATGTTTAAAGGTACTGTGGTTTAGTAAGAAATTAATGAATTTTCCAAATTTGATCAAAATATGTTCATAAACAAGCAAACTACAACAGTTGACTTTATTCTCCATAAGAATAACATGGAAATTTTAAAATTACAATTTTTTTTTAATTTTCTCCGTAACAATTAGGCGCATAATAACGCTTCAATATACTAAATTTGTTTTTTTAAGCTCTACAAAATGGTTTAAAAAGAAATTGTGAAATTTTGTGTTTTTAGGGTCAAAAATGGGAAAAACCCATTTTTACCCCATAAAACCCCCCATAAAACTCCCCATAAACCCCCGTTCCCATAGTTCGATCATGCTGGTTTGCGAACTCATTCAAGTTTATCCCGCCTTACACCTTCACACCAAATTTTATCAAAATCGGACAAAGATTACTCAAGTTATCGTGCGGATGGACACATATATATATCTCTCTATATATAGATATATAAAAATTTGAACGAATGGTGTTTTTGGCCTCTGGGGACATCAAAATGAAAAAGTAAATCGGTCCCGGGCTTAGGTCTTACCATGAGACCTACGGTAATAGCTACTTCCCTATAGGGAAATTCGCTAAAAACTGGGTTTAATGGAATTATTCGTTCTGTTATCACATAGCTAACAGAATAAATCGATAGAAAGAATAGTTCAATCAGTGATAATCCCTGAAGTTTTTGAGGAATTAGGTGTAGGTACAGTTGAAAAAAAATTTAAATTATTATTCTTAACCTAGTCGATACATATTATTTTAAAAACAAGAAAACAGGACAGTGAGTGACTAGAAAGATTAACTATGTATATGCTGTTTTGCGAGATACTTTCTAAAGTTCAAAAAAAGAAATTTAGCAAAATAAGTTATAAAAAAAGCATGTAAAAAAAGTTTTGTGTTTGAAGCCAAAGTTTTAATTGGAAAGCTGGAGGAAGGAGACACTACAACAAATTACCGCTTCCTTTGCAACGTTTCCCATCTTGTGAGGATGACTTGGGAGGACTACGTTGATTTGTTAACTCTATCATTTGCAATAACATTCAGTACCAATATAAACATTTTTACATCAATCTTGCTGCTTTGCAAACTCATTTAAGTGCACCCAGCCCTACATGATCATGCCACATATAATACAAATCTAACCAAAATTACATACATAAAAATTGTAACGAATTGTTTTTTACCTTAATGGATATCAAAATTAAAAAAGTAAATTTGTAAGGTCTTGCCATACCACATAGGTAATAAATTTTGATAAAAAGTTGTAATGTTTCGATTAATGAAAGGAGGCCTATTATATGCCAAAATTATGAGATATTTAGTGTTCAACAGAAATACAAAAGTATTGTGTTTTAAATGTTTTACAACTTACAAAGGTTGTAAATTGGTTGTAAATTAAGGAGACTAAAATATTCATTTGGAATTCCCTTATATTTTATTTCACTACTTCAATACCCGGAAAAGATCATGAAATCTAAAATAATAAGGGTTTTTGTATTGTTTTTTTTTATCAAATAATACCACAAAACTATGTTAAACCCCGTTATATTTGACTTTTAAGGGATTTATATTGTTTTGCTATCAGTGACTATTGATTATTTTGGGTTCCCGGGCACTTTGAGTTGTTCAAGCTGGAAGCTAAATTTCCACTGTTCAGTGTTCATCCATTAGAACCACAATCCAGGAAAACGTGTTATGTTAGCTTCCAGGTCATAATCTGTTGTTTAATTACGTTTAGTCTACATAAGATGAGGCATCATTTTACACAGTGCAGATCATCAAAAATCATTTGCTGTATTGTCTTCTAAACATTCTACAATTCGTGACAAGAGCATTGAACTATCATTCATGACTATACATATCAGGTAAATGGATTATTTTCTGTAGTGATATGTGAAATCAACTACGACAAACCACATTGTTATATACTCGAAGAAACACATTTTATCCACATTAAAAGTAGTTGACTAATTTATCTTGTAACTTTATTAAATATATTGTTCTAACAATATAACAAATTTAACAACCAAAATCCTCGCTTCCTCTTCAAATAATGTTAGTTAAACATTTGATTCTCAACTAAAACTTTGATAGCAATCATCAAAGTTTGTTGTTCTTAATGAACAAACTTTAAGCAAGTCTGTCAAATGATGAGAAAGACATGTTGTGATTATTCTAAACTGAAATGTGTGGTGTAAGTTTTTAATTGTGAATATTTAACTTAAACTTTGAAGTTTACTATTGACTCATAATTCTTATTCTCAGTTTTAGTCATTCAAGGCCGACTATTTTAAAATGTGATTATGTAAGAGCAGGTATTTAGAACACGTGGAAAATCCACTTGTCCCTCACCCACTTGCATCCCCATATTAACTTCTTGTTGTGTATACAACCCATATATTTTGGTCTTAAATTAACTGATGGCGTTACATATTTATTTATCAATAGCCCCAGGTAAGCCCATGTAAGCCAATGCCAATGCATGTCAATACGTCGTGTAGTAAAAAAAGAATACACTGATTAAAATAGTAAAAATATATTTATTTATGATCTAAATCAGTGATGAAATTTGCAGTTAAATGCATTAATTGGTGATTTATATTCCAACACAACACAACAAATCAAATCAATCCAACTATAAATATCCTTCATAAAGTATCTTTCCTGAAAGTTTGATACTCAATTTAAACTGAAGTATTCAGATGGCTCAGCTTTCCATGTTTACTCAGTCAGTTTTGTAACTGTGGAGTACCAATGGCTTACGGCACTTCCAAAAGTCCACTTGTAGTCTATTGTTTCAAACTACAGTTTGCCACAAAGTTATAACTTATTTCAGCCTTTGGCGCTTCTGTAACGTTATTGAGTGCTAGTTTTGTTTGTTATAACTTGGGAACATGTCTGAAGAAAAATGTACGAATCTTTACCCAACAGACTCCATGATCCCTCTTTAGTTGGCACTTTGAATTTTCTTTGTGGTTTTGCGATAGGATAGTGCTAAGAGGATGGATATAATACGGAATTTGTTACATTTTTAATTAATTTTATTACTAATAGAGAATATAATAATGCAAATAATTAAATGTACATAACTAAATTTAAAAGTAAAAAAAAAAAACCAATATATAATAAATTATTTTAATCCACAAGCGCTTTCAGAAACTATGTTTCCAACGTCAGGCTGTGTTCAAACTGATACAAAAAGTAAATATTTACAATAATAAATTAATTTTAAGTAAAGTTAAAACAGATGATGAAGAGGATATTGGAAAAATATATGAAAAAATAATCTTTTGAAACTCAGTGTCATTAACTCAGAATTACTTAAAATAATTACATCAAGAACAACACTGTGATATATCAAAATTTCAAAATATTATCTTACTAATATTATAAATGTGAAAGTTTGTGTGTTTGTTTGTTTGTTTGTGTGTTTGAAGTTCAATCACGCATAAACCACTGGACGGATTGGGCTGAAATTTGGCATGATGATAGCTTACATTCCCGATTAACATATAGGCATATTCTTATCTCTAAAGTCCTTTCGGGCTCCGCCCCAGTGGCTCTGTAATTCCCCATGTTAACCTTATGAGTATTCATATTTAAAGGGAATTAAAAGAATTCAGTCAGCTGTTTCAACTAAATAAGTTGGTTCTATGATATGGAAAAGCATTACAAAGTTATAAGATTTACCAACAGGGTGCAGCACTATAATTTTTTTTTTATGAAAACAGCTAATTTGAACTAAGCGGCAACAAAAAACTGTGATTCGCAATGAGAACTGACAAAGTAGGATTGTTTACAGTTATGTTTATATTTTTCATTTCATGAATAATTTATGATATTTTGCGAATTGTTAATAATTTATTTTTCTCTATTGTTTAGGTGAAGTGGTAGAACATTATGGCTATGGTAGATGTGTAATACTATAGAATACTGTAAATTTAAAAAAAGCAAATTTTGTCAAACTGTGTCCTCTCTTATTGCAAACGCAAAGCTTGAGTATAACTGCAATAAGCATTTTATACTTATATTCCAACCCCGTACGAAGGACGGGTACTCTGCTAGTTTATTCATATATTTTTCCAATATCCTCTTCATCATCTGTTTTAACTTTACTTAATTAATTTATTATTGTAAATATTTACTTTTTGTATCAGTTGAAACACATTCAAAATGCCAACTTAAGAGCTCTAACACAAACACTCCAAAGTCTACTATTGAAAATATATTATTGTGAAACCTAATGGAGGAATTGCTTTGAATAAAAAATACTGTATTTGAAATTTACAATAATTATCCGTAACTTGATAAGGATCGATTTGTGTGTTGAAGTAGACATCGTGTCCATGGGCTGATTTACGCCATGGACGGGTTTATACTACAGTACAGTATTTCACATAGTGATGGGTTACTATACCAACTACTAACAACACTATTTTTTGTTACAATTTTTTGTAACAAAAAATCAATATTTTACTATACGTTTTTCGTTTGGATTGGCTTGGTTGAGTTTATTTTGGTCTGTAATGGATGAAACATAATTAAATTAGCATAATCTATTCTTGACTTAATTAGGCCGAAATTGTTTTTTTTATAAAACATTCCAAACAAATTACTCTAACTTAAAATAGTTTGTATAGTCAACGCTTTGACATACACACAGACAAATAACAATATTTACAATTATACTCGAGAATAAACTGTATCCGAGGATTTCATGTGTGGACAAGAATAAACCCTCAAATGTTGCGGACTCGATGAAGCCATTTGTTCGCAAACACAAATTAATTGTGTCTCAACAATTTTTACTGACATTGGTGAATCTGGACAATAAATGGATTATTAGTTCCCCCCTGCCAACAGAACTAACCTTGTGTTTTAACGTGGAAAGATTAATTTAGTTTCAGTTATATGCGTTTGTATACCTACAAGACGGAATTAACAGAGCAAAGATAACCTATAATAAAGAATAAGATGTGAACAAACACAAGGAATAAAAATACTGAAAACTTGACAACAAGTGTTTTATGATTCAAACGGGTGAGTAAAGTACTGATTCCTCTTAAGAAACAAATGCGTATAAGTATTGCAGATGAAGTGATGACGAAATTAATTGCTGCATTTAAACTTAAAAAGTATTGACAGAAGCCTAAGTATTGATATTTAATTAGTGCTTTCCCGACAATACGCCATTTTGGTCTCCTTAGGTAATGTTTAACTTTCTGTAGCCTCCAAGAATTTGGAAAACTTGTAACTTGTATAACTTGTATTTGTAACTTGTGTAACTTGTATATAACTTGAAATTGTAACTTGTTTTTGTATGCCAGCACCAACAAGGATAAAATAACACAATAAATTCAATATTTTTAAAATTTTAAATTAGAAATAATCCAGTCCATGTATATTGACAGTCTTGTAAACAACCGTGGGAATACTTCATTATAACACCCGTGCGTAGCTACCACTCCTATCAAGACATAGGTGTCCTTAATCTTGAGCATCAGAGGGCTGCCAGCATCACCCTGCAAACCAAAATATTAATAACAATCAAAGATTCTTTCTTTGAAAAGGTAAAATGCAGATGGCTGCTGTATAACACTGCAACAAATGTTAGGTAAAAGATTAGAATATTTATTCTGAGAACGGTAATTAGAACTCAGAACTGTAATTAACTTATAAATTACATAATCACCTGCAGAGTAAACAACTAATAAAAGTTACTATGTTAAGGTTAGTTATACCAGACTGATTTCCGCGGGTTTAAAATACTTCAAATTGGGAAAACTATCTATAAGTCTCTTTTAATCTTTTTGCAAAGATATGCTTTTTTCCATCTAAAAATTCAACAGTAGATACTTTTAGCGAATTTCCCATATAGGGAATAAGCTATTACCGTAGTACTCATGGTAAGACCTGGACGCGGGACCGATTTTTTTTTCGTTTTGAGGTCCCTAGAGGCCAAAAACACCATCCGTTCAAATTCATATATATATTTTTATATATTTATATATATACTAGCTGACCCGGCGAACTTCGTATCGCCTAAGTTATAGGTTTCCCCTAAGACAGACCGATGGAAAGAAAGTACCGTTACGTTTAATTTTCAAGATGATCTCGTTCGCATCGCTCAATCACGTCCTGGTTGAAGTTCGTTTGCTACGCTCACTCACCTTTGGGTTGGAGCTCGTTCGCTACGCTCACTCACCTTTAGGTTGGAGCTCGTTCGCTGCGCTCACTTGCCTTCAGGTTAGCTCGTTCGCTACGCTAACTCGCCTCCAGGTTGCAGTTCGTTCGCTACGCTCACTCACCTTTTGGTTGCAAATTAGCTGTTGTCATAAATGTAAAAGAAATAATAGTGCTGCACCCTGTTGGTAATCCTTGTAACTTTAATGCTATTGAACATCATAGAACAGAACCAACTTGTTTAATTGAAACAGCTGTTAAGATTCATTAATTCCATTTCTCATAAGGTTAACATGGGAAACTCCAGAGCCACTGGGGCGGAGCCCTTTTAAGAATTTCGAAACGGGAAATAGTTTACGACCGATACGCATACCTACAGAATTTACACACCAAATTTCATAACGATCGGTGAAGTCGTTCCGGAGGAGTTTGCAGACAAACACTGTGACACGAGAATTTTATATATTAGATATATATATGTCCGTCAGCACGATAACTCGAGCAAAAATGATCCGATTTTGATGAAATTTGGTACAAACGTGTAAACCTACGTTTATTCGAACGAGTTCGCGATCCAGCATGATCGGACCATGGGAACGGGTGTTTACGGGGGGTTTTATGGGGTAAAAATAGGTTTTTCCCATTTTTGACCCAAAAAACTGAAAATTTTGCAATTTTATTCCAAACCATTTTGTAGAGCTTAAAAAAACACAAATAATTTAGTATATTAAAGCGTTATTATGCGCCTAACGGTTACGGAGAAAATTACAAAAAATTGTAAATTTAAAATTCCCATGTTATTCTTATGGAGAATAAGTAAACTGTTGTAGTTTGCTTGTTTATGAACATATTTTGATCACATTTGGAAAATGTTTTTATTTCTGACTAACTATTAACATTTTACAAAAAAAAAACAATTTTACCCTCCCTGATGCAAAAAAACTTAAGTACTTGTTAAACTAATTCTATTTAAATCCGGAATAAATGTTATATTTTTAGGTAGACATTTCAGTGTAAATCCAATCGGTCAAATGGAAATTCGCTTAGTCTGCAGGTTTGCTGCGGCGGGGGTATTTTGTAATATTTCAGCTTTTTACGATAGTCTTAAAATTACAGTCGTTAGATAGGGATAGGTTAGATAAGTTTTAAATGTTGAATAACAGTTTTCTTAAAATGTCTTTAATAAAATCTGCCTTTTTTTCTTAATAAAAAAATGGCCGCATTTTGAAATATCAAACTGAACCAAGTTTATGTTTTTTTTTTTACATAGGTATCTTCTACCTTAGCATACATACCAAGATACATAAAGATCGCTTTTAAAAATCTAAAGATTAGAAACCGTATGTAAAAAATACAACGTCAACTAGGTGATGTTGGAGAAATGTTTTTTTTATTTCCTCTCTATTTTGATTTATTTCCATAGAACCATGTCCCTGAGTTTGACTGTTCACTTACGGGACACCCTGGGCATGCACAAATTTATGTGATTGATACGTTCGAGGCAATGGACCCTCGCGTGTCAATAAATTTCAATGTTGACAGTAACCTCGTGACGAGATTACACAAGATCCTGCCAGAAGGTTAGGAGTTACCACATAAGTACAGAATGATGGCCGACATGGTAATCAAAGGAATCGAAATTACACAGCATGAGAGTTCCAGATACATCCCCATTGAAGTAAGAATGTTACTGCTTTCTGGACAAAACATACAACACAAACATACACAATAGTCCGCCTCTCGCTGATAACATTTGTTTATTGTTAACTACCAAAGATGGCGATTCATTGATACGATCCAAATACAATCCAAATCAATTAGGAAAAAAGGATATGGAACCAGTATCAGTAATATTAGCTCCCTCCATCAGATGACAGACCCAATTTTATGTTCACTCCTTTTCCAGTTTGGCAAAAGATCATGAACAAGAAACAAACGTAAGGTTCTGCAACACCCTTTTGAGCGATCTATTGCTGGGTAAAAGGATCAGAAATATGTTTTCAACGTATTCATCAACCACGTTTTAGCGAATTTCCCATGTAGGGAAAACAAGCATATAGGGGAAATAAATGTAGTTGTCAATTTAAAAGCAACCTTTCACCAAATCATGTAGTCTGTCGTGATCAAAGGATGTTAAGATGAAATCGTTAACACGCCAAGTGAATTCCGGACACTTGTCATGCATTGACCACCCTAGGTAGCTACGGGAGCATTTGGTGGACCTTCGATTACTTTTCTGGTCAATAACAAGTCACAATTATCTTTCCCTGTGTAGGAATTCTTTGTTATTGGGTTAGGTAGCTAAATTGGTAACCAAATCTTATGTTTCATGATTTTTTAAAGCTTCTGATATATTTCACCTATGTAAAACATTATTTTATACCTGACAGCTTTTGTTGACTGGAACAGAAGCACAGATTAAATCCCATCCAACAATGATGAATTCGTCTGACTGATAGTTTCTGTAGTTGTAGTTACATTCTGCGTGGTTGACAACAGTGGCTTGTAGTTCATGCAGGATCAGCTGATGATGGCCTGCCAACAGACAAGTTTTGACTGTGAAACTAGCAAAATCTTGGTATGCAACCGAAATATGTACTGTGAAAAAATGCTTAAGATGATCTCATGAAATGGCCAAAGCATTTATGGTAATACAATGTTGCCTTTCACAATTTCATGCACAATAGGATAATCTCCCATTTGGATTTGAACTATGGACGGTTCAACCAGTGACCACTGGGATGGACTCACACACTCACATGTGCACATGTCGCTTTGTCCCATAAACCAAATCAATCAAGTTACACCCAAACCGTTTGTCTAGTAGTGTTCTGTATGTAAGAAGGTTTAGAAACGTATAATTTTATGTGGGAAACGAGTACCTTTGTATAGTACGACTACATTACTATACAAAATAATAAAGGAAAAAAAATATCTTCAATGTATACAATCTAGTACTAGACAAATGGATTAGGTGTAACTTGATTGTTTGTGTGAGTGTGTGAGTCATTCCCAAGTGGAGACGGGTTGAACTATCTAAAGTCTGAATTCGGATGAGAGGGAATCAACTGTATATGAAATTATGTAGAATTAAGTTACACTAATTAATGTTTTACTAAGTGTATGGTTTATACTTTTATTGCTAATCATGATTAGATTTTTTAGTTGATGATGATGATGGCTGTCCAGATGAGAGAATGTCTACAATACTATATTATTGATTCATCTTAACACAGCCCAATTTCCAAACTAATTATTGAAACTATTTCTGCTGGTAATTGCTAACTAAGAGCTCCCAGTGTACTGTGGCAATGTACTATATTTTATACAAGCCGCTATACCCGTGCCTTGTAACGGGGTAAGTATTACAAAAGAGATAATGTTGGTTCTTTGAAAATGCTTTAAAAATTGATTCACATCAGTAACGTATGGTTTTTTTTGCCCCTGGGGACCTTAAAAGTCAAAATTAAATCGGTCCAGGGTCTATGTCTTACCATGAGACCTACGGTAATAGCTTATTCTCTATATAGAAATTCCCTAAAACGCCCCTCTTATTGACGATGCTTCTTAGGAAAAGATTGATGTTTGATAGTAACAAGACTAAGGTTTAGATGCACCTACAAATGTTAAAATGGAAATACCTAAAAGGCATAAATATACACAAAATAAAATTGATTAGGTAGTTACCCCCGCCTTACAATTGACATTTAATTCGGCCTACTATTTCCTAGGGAACAGTCGCTTACGTTGAGTTAAACGGAAAAATAAGTGTACTGTAAAAAAGAACGGGAGAACTCTTTGTGAGTATCACCCAAATACAGTAGTATGTTTCATTTTATTAATTTGTCCCTTATCCATACCACATTTTTTTACTGAAATAATTTCAATCTGTATCTTCATCAGATGTGGGAAATCATAGTAAAAGTAGGCACAGTTGAATACTGTGTAATTCCTGACTTATTGTGAGCTTTAACAACTACTGTTATGACCTATCGACTATATCAGTAACAAAAATAAGGTGGAAAAGAGAATTTTACACACTAGCGCATTCTGTGCCTGGCTCAGACAACTATGTTCTTTCTTATTGAAAATTGGCGACCATATTATCATTGTCTACTTCAGTATCCAGTAGTCAATGGTAACATAGCCTAAGACAAAAATAATTAAATATAGACTGTCAGCTGTACTGCGGATTACTCTTATTGCCTATGATGTAAGTAAACGTCAAAGGTTAATTGATTGGTGAATTAAAATAGACTGTCAGCTGTGCTGCGGATTACCCTTTTTGTCTATGATGTAAGTAAACGTCAAAGGTTAATTGATTGATGAATTAAAATACTGAATTTGATAATTTGTTTACAGTTATTTCAGATGGGAATATTAACTAATTAATAAGTGCTGTACACTGGACATAAAGAATCCTAGCACACTCTGTTTTACCTCAAATTGAGCCATGTATTTCGTTGGTTGGTAAAATATACAATTTGATTATTTACTAAACCAGAAACTACTAAAATATATGAATGACTATCTAATTTTAATGTTACCATAGACTAAGCAACACAAGGGAGTATGTTTTATCTATGATGTTACCCACGTTTACGACTCAGCTCGCGGTCATTGTCCGTCTGTCCCCAGCTGGCGAAGTAAGCGGTGGCATCATCAAACGACTTCCTTGTAAAATCTGGAGTTGGAAGACATATTGGTCTTATATATTCTGAAAATTCATAGTGACTTTAGCAGAGAACCACCGTTTGGAAGTATATAACAGTTTTCATATTATAAGAAAAGAATTCTGACGGATGCAAACTTCAATTAAAAGAGGGTGAGCTAACAGATAACACTTCCTTTGTTCACAAGTCTGGTATTACTTTTGATTATTTTGTGAATTTACTTTTTTCAATCACAGTTTTAGGTTTTAGAAATCCCTCCCACTGAGGCCCCTTAATACTCTGCGGCACACCGCACGCCGCTGCGGCCTTCGGCCCTGTCACGGCCGATATATATGGGAACATTTATACAACCATTAAGAGCAATGCCATAGCTGACCGTGCCATTTGGGGAAAAAAGGAAGACTGCTACAAACTCAATAATTTAGCGTGATCGTGGACAATTTTCCTAGCATTGGCTATTTAAAGAATAGGTATTTAAACAGCAATACGATAGTTAACGAAAGCGACGTTGTGCAAAACAGTTATCCTACCGTGTTTCGTAACAGCCTCTCTGTTAGTGGTCTACCACCTCATTATTACTCAAGCTCAAGAAAACACCATTTTAATGTTGATCAGGAATCTAGATACCTCGTCCGGCTTGATTAAAGAAACGCTTATGCGCCTTGAAAGAATCTATCACAACACTATTGAGTGTGAGGCGTTAATGGGCTCATTGCAAGTAAATACTGATTCCTAGAATCAAACTGCGACATCTTGGAATAACTCATTTCCCAGTTATTTCCTTGTTTGCCATAAACATCAGTCAATTTCAGGGACAGTCTTTATATTTCGTTGGAGTAGTGCTAAAACACGCTTTGGTTTGGTCATAGAATACACACGTGGTTGACCCCCGGCACACGTACATGTCGATACACACGTGGTGCACTCATGATACCATTAATTTTAAAAACTGTACACTCAATTGGGCCTTTCACCATTACCACCTTTACCAACGAATCAGAATACCCCTAAAACGCCAAATAAAAAATATCAATTAAAGTCCTTGTTCTCCTGTGTATAGATTGCTTCGCTAGTAAGCCTTTAAGTCAACAACTTCAAAGTTCTCAAAACCCCAACTCATAGCTTCAAAGACCTTAAAGTTTCCCAGCTTTTACTATTTTCAAAATGATTGGGGTGGCGGCTCCCTCTTTGGGCGACGCCCCCGTAGGTGTGGGGTGGGGAAGGAACTGCATGGATTGATTTTTGTATTGGTGTTTTGGTAGTAATTAATTCCTTTAGGTTTGCATTTGATTGCTTTAACAAACCAACGCATCTAGTGCATCAAGTGTGTAGTCAATGTTTTCATGCACTAATAAAGTTGCCTAGTGCAAAAAGGCCAACCAAGTCCATTTATTTAAACAAGTAATTTCTGTCCCCAACTGGCAAAAGTGCAAGTCAATCTGAACACAGTAGTGATTCTAAACTTAATGAATTGTAAAGATATTTTTTTATTTCTATGAAGGAGCGTAGAGCACATAAATAATAACAAAGATAACCTGAAACTGATATGCTTGAATTCATCTTGATAATTGCAAGATTATGAGAGAATTTTTGTTCTTTCTTGAATCCAGGATGAATAGCAATTGTATTTTTTTGTATAACGATATCAATTGCTCCTTTATCATCGGATTTATTGTCTAGATCAATATCATTGAATCTGGCAAAAAACCTAAAATCAAAACAGGTTATGAAATACCATCAATAAGATAGTGAATCATAATTTATGTAAAACAATAATAATTGATCATTCATAATCTCGTTGTTACTTTTTACCAAGAGAAAATTATGGTCAATGATCATCATTGAATGTATGTCAGATTGTAAGGTCAGGCAAAATAATTTTTGTATAATTGTAACAATTTAAATATGATTTTCATAATATACCAAAAAAGTTTTTAAAATCAAATATAAGAGTAGCATATTCTTTCGAATTATCCAAAAAAATTATAATTAATTTAAAATAATTAGTTTTATATCAACAATTTCACTAATACAAGTACAACAAACACAAACAGGAATTTTCTGTTATAAAAATTCAATCCAAAAACTACCCAAGACAACAACCATTCAGCCAGTATCAAAAAACCAAATAACTAATCTCTATCTAAGTTACTGCTGACTTTTGGGACTTATGCCGTAAAGGTATTACAGTATTTCACAGTATAGTCTGCACTGTCAGGCGAATAAAAATCATACTACACTTCTTCTCCAAACAGTGTGAACAACTTTGATCAGTAATAAATAATTTAAAAAACTAACATTGATTTTTTATACTAGTCTTTCCATCTTATGGCAGCTGTAAATATATATATATATGTGTGTGTGTTTATTTTTTTTAGAAAGCCCATAGCTAAATGAGCCAATCAGTGTGCTAGAGTCTGATATTATATTTCCTCCTCTATTTTTGTTACTGTAATAGTTGAAGTAATATTAAAGATGCTATATTTTACAAACATGCCCTTTTTCGTTTGGCTTTGTTAATAAAGTTAGCGCCTTCGACAAATCAGTGATTTATATTAGCGTATATGTTGGTGGCTCATGTACTAGAAAATTTAAAATGCGTAATGCACCCTACTCTTTAATCAAATTATAAGATTAATGTAGGATGTGCAGTATTATGTCTATTCCAGCTATTAAATAAGTGTTGATTAAATATCAGTAGTTTCCCTTTCTGAATCTACTATTTAGAGAAAGATAACTTATTTTTTTGGAAGATATTTTCTTATAATTTTCTAAACGTGGTGTCGTGTCACTTACAAGTTCCTCCTGCGATAGTCAGCCACACAGTGAGCTGCAGTGAGTATATGACGGGTCGTTACTAGAGTCCCGGCACAGAACCAGTGGAACTCACCATGCTGGGTGTTGTTCTTACGCATGCCTAGTATAACCATCCACGGCCAAGCCCCTGGAACAAACATCAGCTTTCACAGATTTTACTATCCTTACCGTATGCATCAGCTGAAGGTATTTATAATGACAAAATCAATAAATTATCTTCGTCATCGCCTTCAAAAAGGTGTAACAAATTAAAAGTAATACCATCGCCGCCAGCAAACCTGCTCAGACTAAGCGAATTTCCATTCACCTGGATTTCTACTAAAATATTCCCTAAAAATATATTTATTTCCTATTTAATTAACATTAATATTAGTGAGTACTTAGGTTTGCTGCTACAGGGAAGATATTGAGATGTGTTTTTTTATTGCAATGTCGATAGCTTAGTATTAAATAAACAAAATTTCAAATTTGGTTTAAATATTTTACCTCTAAGCTGCTGAAAGAGACATTGAACCAAACAGCGTATTACAAAATTCATACTTTTTTAAGGTCATAGGACAACCTTTCCCAGGGTCTCCTGACCAAAGGTTGGTCGTAAAATATTTTTGCAGGGGCGGCCAACCATGGGGATCAGTCCTTGAACAGGTTGGCCGCCCTAGCCAAAATATTTTACGACCGACCCTAGGCTAGTAGAACATGGGGCAGGGGTTTAAAAACAGGTAGTCGTGCGATATCAGTACTAAACTGAAACTTGCATAGCGTTGTTGTTTCTAAGTTGCAACATAAGTTTCAAATAAAAGTAACAACACTTTAAAGGAATATCTTTGTGTTTCCGGATCAAATATGGAGAACACAATGTTTTGAGGGACTATACAATTGACAACTTGCTCTTTGCGCTTCTTAAAACAATCGAGTCATTGTAGACAGGTAAATTTAGCCAAAAAAAAAACTCCAAGACAGAAAAAATAATAACCGGTTGTGCTTTAAAGATTTTTGGTAACAACAGGTGTAGTTAGTTAGTTATGTTATGTTATGTTACTTTGTCAGAAGAGCCGAAACTCCCCGACACACCCGGTACCTATTACTCAACTCGGGACCTCTGATGCCAATTGGAACTTGCGCACCAACCTTTACGACACCATAGGAGGATGACTTAAGGTCATCACGCTCACCGGCTGCCAAACGGCTAATAACCCATCGGAGAGAGGGTTGCCCCTCAATCCTAACCAGGGATACCGGCTACTTTATTCCCACCCCCACCCCAATTAAGTTCTAACAAGGCCGAAGCCCTTTGGACTAAAAGGAGTGCCCTGGACGTGCAATAGTGCAAGCAACACTCGGGACCTATCTAATCCCTGACATGCAGAACCCGCCATCATAGCCAGAAGGAAGGGGAACCTCCCATTTACACCACTACCCGATCGAGGCCTTACCCAGTTGCTGGGAAACCAGAGATAACCAGAGCGATAGATCCCTGGATACCCCAAGCGGGCTCGGACCCAGCACCTGATCTACTTCGTTTGCCCGTCAGACCCAACATCATTGCCAGGCCATCAAGGTTTCCCAAAAGGAGGCAGGTATAGAAGTGGGACCCACCCGGATGAACCTATCCACCAAAGGTGGCGACACCCTTAACTCAATTGAGGTTCCAGGGAGAACCCCCCACACTCCAGATAACCATACCTTCCGTGCTCAGAGACAGGGATTGGCTGGAGAAGTGCCTACAACCAATACCCTCACACTGCGGAAAGTTACGTCCCCTAGAGTGTCCCCGTGAGCTACGGGTACTCGCCCGATTTCACCTCCAGGAAAGGCTACTTCCAAAGTCGAAGATTTGCCACACTGAATGCTGGTCGCACACAACAAGCGGGCCGAAACCCAGAGAACCACAGACACAGGTAGGTGGGAGATTGATGGCGCACTTCCATCTCTCCGAGAGCTAAACACCCCGCCATCCTGGGTGAAGGAATGTCACTGGGATCTGCCCAGTCGTCCATGACTGTGGCCTACTTAAAAATGCCGATTCCAACACCGAGCAGTTGCCTCCCCTTTGGGGGCTAGCTTTTCACTCCCAGGACGAGGCTACTTCCAGAGTCGAGGATATGCCTCACATAATGTCAGTCGAACACAACAGGCAGGGCAAGCCCAAGAACCACAGTTCCAGGTAGGTGGGGAGAGGCGGAATTAACGGCATCACTGAGAGCTAAACACCCCACCACCCTGAATGGAGGGAATGTCACTGCCAGTGACATTCCCTCCATTCAGGGTGAACCTTTTTCACCTTTTTCAGGGTTCTCACTGGGGACTCTCCCCTTTTTAATTTTCAAGGGGGCTGGCCTTCCCAGTCGGCCATAACTATGGTTTACCTAAAGTGCCGGTTCTGACACCGGGCAATTGCCTCCCCACTGGAGAGCTGGGGTCCGCGTGGTCGCCAGGCCACGTACCCACGCAAGCGTGGGCCCCCTGCGGGGTGTAGTTAGTTAGTGCCAGAAAGTCTACCAAAATCGGACAACCGGAATGATGACTGCAATTTCGTCGATTTTATAGTTCAGGATTGACTGATTTCCGTGAAAATTTCTAAAAATATCTAAAACTATATTTCTAACCTTGAATATTAAAACCAGGCAGACAACGTAACCCTAAGATGGGTTTTTGTGGTGTTAGTGCCAAAAAATAAGGTTTTTTCCCTCAAATATAATTTGTTTAAATATTTTGTTCAAAGTTGATTATAATTTCAAACTTATTTTTTCACCATTATATCCAGCACAAAAAACAGACAATTTAGTAATTTTATTGAGTCTTTGTTCTGCGTCAATGTGCTACCGAGATATTGACAGTAATAACTAGAGTATGTTTTGCTGAAATAAACTCAATGTTAATCTTATGGAGAATAAGTATGAATATAAATATTAATTTTCAACATATGGATAATAAAGACATTGTGCCCTGCTTCATATTTTCTGTTTTAATATTTTTTTACTCAACACTCCTATTTTGGCAGTTACCATGGCAGCAAATCTTCTTATTCGGTTTCAATGTTAAAGAGAATAAAAGCAAAAATCAATTTCTTATAGTAATTACTTATTTCAATTTTTTATCAATTGACAATTGTGTATTTTGATTTATTTTGCCAAAATATTTTTTGTATTAAAACACGCCCCTTTAGAGTTGTTATTGCAGCAAAACTGCTTACTTGGTCCCCATGTGATTCTTATGGAGGACAACTTTTCTCGCTTACCTACTGACACATTTAAAGAACATTTATTTTGCGTATTAATTTTACTGTAGACCGTTATTAAAGGAGCATACTTTTATGATACTGCCACCCTCTAAGCAGCAATCCTACGGTTGTAATATGATCTTCCAGTGCATCGGAGTACAAAGACTAGAAATATAATATATGGCATCCTCTGTCAACTATCGTCAAACTCGATAATAATCCTCGCAGCACGGGCGGCCAACCTGTCCCACCCCGACCCCGCATTAGTGCTGGGAAATGTTGTCTATCCCTGCAAAACAGGCCAGAATTTCGCAAGTCAATTTGAACCCTGGAAAAGGATGTCCGTTTCCCCTTTTTTTAGATAAATGTTAATGGCTTTACCCTTGGTTTGTTGGGATAACTTAGATTATGGAACTTAGATGTATAAATGACTATGTACCAGCTTGGGAATTACTTATGTAATTGTTATGTGTCAGGCTTTAAGTACAGCAATGCTTTGTATATTGTATATTGTCTATATATACCTTTTCTTGACACGGTCCCATCAACTTTCCTCTTTATTCTTGAATGTTGAGCTGTTTTACCACAGTAGCTGCTTGAAGATTGAAAATGAGGCAGGTTTAGAGATTTGTAGTGAGTTTCTAAAAGGAAAAAAAATTATTATCAGAGATTGATGTTAACAACCTGTTGTAATGCTCAAACAAATCTTCAAATCTTAATAAACAATACCCTTGGAAATGTGCACCTCTTATCAGCAGGCTTATTTTAAATATAAGAATATGAGGATTAAAAAGTGATTTGACTATTGGAAGAAATGGTATTAACCCTTTACATGCTTGTGGTGCTCATCCACACCAACACTCTTACATTACACATTACACTAAGTCGACCAGTTGGTGTGAACAGAGTTAAGGGATAATTAAGAAGATGGAGAGGTGACCTGACTTGGAGTTGGAGGATTTGGGAAGAAAATCGTGAGGAGAATTCCGCGGACTGCAAGGAAATATGGAGCGTGTGTGTGTGCGTGAGCTTCAAAGGACCATTTTAACATCATGTAAAAAAAAATAACTAAATTTGTAAAGATGTAAAAAATCAAGACACATATTTTGTAAATAACCCAATCTTTATTTTTTCTAGTTTTTTCTATGTAAATTAACCTTGTACATTTTCTTAACTATTGATGTTAAAATGTTTTTCAAAGTTCTTATTTTGTGTTCCCCCCCCCCCCCGTTGTACCAACTTGTTGATTTCTAAATTTTATTTTGTTTCGTTACACGTTTTATTGCACTTCAAACAATTTTTCCACCCCCCCCCCCCCTAAACTGGTGGCTGTCGACCCCCAACCTCCCTTGCTACATTTTGATACCATCTACCTAGCTGGAGCTTTATCTGCTTTGAAACTCACAAAGTAATCCAACCATACATTCCATTCCCATTCTTACCATTATAAATGGGACTCCAGTACACATTCTTTTGTTTACACATTGTGTTACCTCCTTTAATTATGATTGTAAATAAATCGCAAAGACTTATTTTTGGACAATTATTATAGATTTTAATACTTTAATACTTTACTTTGAAACGGTGAACTTACGAATGAAGGTATTTTAAGCCAAGTATGAATTGAGATTTTACAACCTTACAAAGCTCACAACTGTATATTTAACATCTCAAGGGGGGGGGGGGCAATTGCTACCCTGGTTCTCCAGTAGCCCTCTAGAGTTTCACCATCCTAACAAAGGCACATGTAGTGTATAGCTTTAGAAATTCATGATTGTTTTTATTTGTTTGAACTGGCAATATTTGTTTTTGGATTTTTACAACCAATGTAATCAGTCTCCGAGTTTCAAAGGGTTATGGTTCGTACCACTTAAAACCTATGTGTCGATAACGATCATACAAACCTACACAGGAAGGCAACGTAGGTAACCACTGTCCACTTCTGCAGACTGAGGCCGTTTTCTCTAGGGTGATCTCCCCCTGGGCCGTAAGCAAGTTGTAGCCCGGGTCACAGCTGTAGTACAGCGGATAGTTCTCCGGGACCCAGGAACCGGGCACCATCCTGCAGTAGTCGGAGGATTCCCCCACGGGACATCTCCTGGAGCTGGGCATGTATTGACCATGCTTCAGTGGGGAGGGGAGAACACATCCCTTCACCTCAGCACTCAGCACTCCTCCTGAAAAAAGACAAGTACGAGCTACATGGTCAAATAAATCCTTTTAAAATGGAAACGGGATATGTTCAGAGATTTTATGATGAATTTATGAGAATTTATGGGTCTTGAGATTTTTCCTTCTGAGCCCTGGTATATCTTATCCAGTAAAACGACTTTTATAGCCTACTAGTGCTATAACATTATATTACGTTACTGGCCCGGTAAGTGGTGTTTTACCGTAAGATTATGGTAAAACACATAAAACAGCACTAGTCAAGAAGAAAAAAACATCACGTTAATACCACCCCCAGAAAAATACAACTGCGACAAAAAAAAACAGTCACACAACATAACCAACCAAACCAAAATACATCAAAGACCCGAACCAAAACTGAAGTAAACATGAAAGACTAAAAAACGACCTAACAAAACCGACCGGCGTTATTTATTTATTTATTGTGTCTGGTTGTGTTGGTTGTTTTTAACTTTTAGTTTCTCTGCAATCGGTGGGTGGTTTGCAAATGGTTGTAGCTTAGTTGTTTTTGTTATTATGCGTTTGGTTGCTTTCCAAAGCAATCCGATTTTTACCCCACTTTATTTTGGCACGAAATCAATAGTCGACATTTTTTAGCCAAGCCGAAGTAAAAGGTCCCACAGACCCTTGATATTATTATTAAGAATATAAAATGTAATTTTTCGGCTGGCCTCCTAAAGGTATATTTATAGTTCGTCGAAAACAAGTTCATCACGTTGAAGCAATACCACATATATTTCTAATCCCCTAAGCCCCAGCGACCAAAGTATCAGAATAAAGGGGCCTTATAAAGTCCTTAAATAATATAAAACAAGTTACAAGAGAATGTACAACCCATTTTATTCAACCATTCAACCATTTTAACTGAATGAAAAATAAATAAACACAAACATAAACATTAAAAGCCATAACATAAACCATGTGTGTTAACAAATCATATGTTTATGACAACTCCTTTTTAATCCTCCACCTCAAATTTACACGGCTGACCATTTTTATCTGGAAAAGCATTGATTTCATATCTTGAAAACTACATCCTTCAAGTGACGTCCTTAAAAATGTTAACATTCTTCGAATCGCTTGAAACTCCCTCTGTTTCAATCATTTCTTGAGGAATCCCTTGAACCTTTTGGCGATTCTCTGAGCTCGAGCAAGTCCCTTGGCCGATTTTGGAAAACCTTATCTTTCAAATAGCCACATAATGTGGTTAAGAGTCCTTGGAGCCTAGACGTTCTAACTCATAAATCTACAGAGCAAATTTCTAATCTCACAGTATACAAGATATTTAAATTACAATCACTTTGGTATCTGAAAAAATATTTTAAGGTGGTAAATAACTCTTCAGTGGCTGTTTGAAAATAACAACATTTACATTGCTCTTGTGGCGGGAAAATCCAAGATGGCCGTTGGCTTCCATCGACTCCCTTGGAAATACATTCAAAACAACAAACAACATTTATAATCTTACAGTATACTAGATATTTACATTTTAATCACTTTTGTGTTTGAAAAACTATTTTTGTATGATAATTAACTCTTCAGCAGCTGTTAAAAATTATCCAAGATGGCCGCTAGCCTCCAAGGAAACACATTGACCGTAATATAGAAGATCTAGCAAAGTCCTGTCGTCCAAGCTATTTGAAGCAGAATCTTCCTGAAAAGTAGCCGTCCATATTTGGCTGGTTCCATCAGGACCTTGGCAACGAATACACAATGACTTTGAAGGCCCAATTTATGGGCAATACCTTTTTGTTATCGTTGACGCCTATTCAAAGTGGGTAGAAGTCATACCAACCAAAACTACAACATCTAATTGGTGCATTCAACACCTCAGGAAACTCTTCTCTACCTTTGGTTACCCGTTCACGTTAGTCTCTGACAATGGCCCTAACCTCATATCTATCTTCATCCAATTTCTACAATTTTGTGGTGTGACACTCAAATTCTCTGCCCCCTATCACCCTGCAACCAACGGACAAGCAGAGAGGTTTGTTAAGACTGTAAAGAAACAGTCAATAGCAAACAGTCAATGCAGTTCAATAGAAAAACCAATTTTTACCCCATAAAACCCCGTTCCCATGGTCCGATCATGCCAGTTCGCAAACTCATTCAAGTTTATTCCACCTAACACCTTCAAACCAAATTTCATCAAAATCGGACAATAATCACTCGAGTTATCGTGTTCACGGACACACACACACATATGTAAACATTTGAACGAATGGTGTTTTTGGCCTCTGGGGACATCAAAATGAAAAAGTAAATCGGTCCCGGGCCTAGGTCTTACCATGCCACCTACGATAATAGCTACTTCCCTATAGGGAAATTCGCTAAAAAAATAACATAAACCATGTGTGTTAAGAAATCATATGTTGATGACAACTCCTTATTAGCCTCTCTGGCGTGAGCCACTGAAACTGAATTTTCTTTAAATATTTCATGAAGTTTCATATTCTTGTAATCAGATAGATTAAACTGAAACTATAGTTCGGCCGCTTAGAAAGCGACCTACTCCACCATTGGTTTAGCATTAGCGCGCAGGTCGTTTTCTAAGCGGCCGAACTATATAATACTAACTTGAATATTCCGCTGACATCTCTGACTTCTGTGATGTAAACCTGAGTTGCATGTGCAGACTGGGCAGCACAGAAGAACGTATAACCCATCACAACTATTGTAACAGAAAACAATCAAGTTAAACGATTGTCAACTACAGAAGAACGAAAATTTATTAAAATGCTTTTTAGTTTTTACAACCTTTTGATAAAAGTATCAAAAACAAAAACAAAAAATATTTGGTAAGCAATGATAACCAAAGAGAAACTGCATCGAAATAACACACAGTAACACATAGGCCTAGGCTTAACCATCCAAAATTACTCCTGCTACCTTACACCCAACCAGCCTATTGCAGAGTTCCACCAGATGGTTGACTCTCTAGAGGACGAGATCCTAAACGTCAATGGTGGGGTGATTGTATGTGGAGATTTCAACGCTAGGGTGGTGGAATGGGTTTTACCCCCAAACAAACACAAGGGGACGATATGTTTTAGAGATGGCAGCCAGGCTGGGTCTTCACATCCTAAACACGGGCAATGTCTCCACTTTCCGTCTCCCGGGATATGGAGAGACGATCCCTGACATCTCTCTGGCATCTGAAGGCCTAACCAATCGGAACACAGACTGGCGAGTCTCCGAAGACTACTCTGCAAGCGATCACCATGCAATTATTTTCGGGGCACTTCCTGAGCGCAGGCGTCCATATGCTAACTCAGCCCATCCGCCTCGACGTTGGAACCTCGGTCGTCTTTGCCCAGACACCTTTTGGGGATGTTTCGGGGATCAAACTGTTGAGGATATTGGAAGTGCCGATTTTCGTGCCACATTGACGAGGCGTCTCATTTCTTCGGCGTGGGACTGTTCCATGCCCAGGATTTCCACCCGTCGTGGGAAGAAGCCAGTTTACTGGTGGACACCCGATATTGCGGAACTCCGGAGAAGATGCCTCAGCCTACGACGAGCAGCGCGGCTTGGCAGAAACCAGCCTGAAGCAAATGCCAGATCGGCAGAGCACAAGGTCGCCAGGCGAGATCTAGGTGGTGCAATTAACCGGAGCTTACTCCGGTACCTTAGTCAGGTGCTGGAAGCAACTGTGTCAGAAAGTCAACAATAACCCCTGGAAGATGGGCTACAAGATAGTAACCCAAAAGCTAGGGACTCGTTCACTACCTGTGGTTGTTTCCAAAGCTCCCAGCACGACCAACTAGAGAATTCAGGGATCTTGGCACGTTCCCAGCCTTTCGGGAAGAGGAACTTACCTCTGCTGTCCGATCCCTGAGAAAACAAAGAGCACCCGGTCCTGATGGCATTCCTGCGGAAACCCTCAAGCTCGTCGTTGAGAAAAGTCCAAAGCTACTGTTGGATATGTTCAACGCCTGTTTGGCTGTGACACATAGCGGCACGCTATATTTTATATAGTGTGTGCATTTCGCGAAGCCGGGCTGCATGGCCAACTCGTAGCCTGCCGCGACTGCAGCAACGCTCCATCCCCGCCTTCCTACTCTTGTCCTCCCGTCTTTGCCCATCTCTCTTCTTCAACTTCGGCATCTTGAAACAACAAGACCAATATCAACTGTCAGTACGTTCACGAGATGGCGCAATGTGACACCCGATGAAGTTATGAAAATTTTTAACAACTTTAAAAACTCCCACAGCCCTGATGTGCATGGAATGACTGTCACCATCTTGAAATATGTATCAGAAGTAATAGCCATACCTCTAGCAAAAACTATTAATGCATGTTTACAGAGCGGAGTCTTTCCCAATTCACTGAAGGTGTCAAGAACGGTCCCGGTCTTTAAGAAGGGTGATCCAGCATCTATCAGCAGTTATAGGCCCATCTCAGTAATTCCAGTTATTGCAAAGGTGTTCGAGACTGTTATGAAGAGGCAACTAGTGGACTACTTGGAGCGCAACTCTCTACTTGCGAGTTCCCAGCATGGGTTCAGGCGTGGTCGCTCGACTATCTCAGCTGTCTCTGAGCTGATAGGGGAGGTCCTAGATACATTTGAGGATAAGGGCTCTGCTGCTTTGGTCCTTGCAGATCTCAGCAAAGCCTTTGACACCGCCAACCATAAGATGCTACTACAAAAATTAGAAAATCTTGGGATCCGTGGCAGTGTATTTGATGCCTTCAGGTCGTATCTCAGTGACCGCAGACAAGTGCTGTCGATATCTGGAGCCAACTCTTCACCTGGGTTAATTAAGCATGGTGTCCCGCAGGGCTCAGTATTGGGCCCTGTCCTCTTTTTAATCATGATAAATTACCTTAGTGCCATTGGAAGCGTCCTAATGTTTGCTGACGACACAACAATTGTTGCCAGAGGATCTACTCCAGTTTTGGCCCGGGAAAAGGCCGCAGAAGTTTTTGAGTTGGCAAAGACTTGGTTCCAACAAAACGGATTGAGCCTCAACCGAGAAAAAAACCCAAGAGATTGTGTGCAGTCTCAGTCGTACAAACGCTGACATTTTAACAGAGGTGAAGCTGCTGGGATTTGTAATAGATACAAAGATTAGCTGGAGTGGCCATGTGGACAGTATCTGTACGAAGCTCTCTCGAGTCATCCATCTACTCCGCAGACTTAAACCCCTGTTGACGAAGCAATACCTGACCACCGTCTATCACGGCTTGTTTCATTCCCACCTCTCCTATGGACTCCTGCTTTGGGGACACGCTGCAAGGTGTGAAGATATTCTTCTCCTTCAAAAGAAGGCGGTTCGGATTATTGCATCGAAGAGTGACAGTGAGCACTGTAGGCCTATCTTCAGAAGCCTAAAAATCCTTACTATCTTCAGCCAGTATGTACTGTTTAGCCTCTGTTATGTGAGGGATAACTTAGATCAGCTCACAACAAGGGAATTCCACCACTCCCACAACCTTCGTAACAGAGACCAGCTCCACATACCTTACTGCAGGCTGTCCAAAACGCAAAGCTTTTTCCGCATCAGGGCTCTGAAGATGTACAACAGTCTCCCCCAAAGATTTAAGTCTTGTGAACCGTCCACTTTTAAAAAGAAAGTTAAAGCCTGGCTAGTCGACCGACCACTGTACTCAGTTGACGAGTATTTTGATGCGTTCCATCGAGTATAGGCTCAACGCCATCTTGCCAAAAGTATTGTAAATAGTGTAAACATTATTTTTAGTTTATGACACAGTCTATCCAGAAATTCTGGTCAACGACGTCGCAGCAGGTATTCAGGTATTCAGGTATTCAACACCCAAATTTCTAGCACCGGCGACCCGAAACTGATAAGTTACATTTAGTATACAGGGTGATTGATATAAGTGTGCCAGCCGTTTTATTCGAAGACTATAAGAGATATCAAAAAAAGTTAAATGGTAAGTGCCTTGGATTTTTTATTAAAAAAATTATAGTCAAGTCAAAAAAAATTATTTTAGCCGCCATTTTTCCGATATGGCCGCCAACTTTGATTTTTCTTATGGAACACCCTGTATTTTATGATGTATTCTTGTAGAAAAAGTAATTTTAAGACGATTTTATTCTTGTAATTTTTTTCATAAACCTAACCGTTTCAAAGATAATAATGGTTTAAGTTGTGCGATTTTGAATGGTTTTCGAGCAAAACAGCTGGCATGCTTGCTTAGGCCTTTATCAAAACTCTTTCTCATGCAGAAATTTCAAAACTTTAACCATTATTATCTTTAAAACGGTTAGGTTTATGAAAAAAATCACAAGAATAAAATCGTCTTAAAATTACTTTTTCTACCAGAATACATCATAAAATACAGGGTGTTCCGTAAGAAAAATCAAAGTTGGTGGCTATATTGGAAAAATGGCGGCTAAAATATATATATTTTTTTTATAAAAAATCCAAGGCACTTACCATTTAACTTTTTTTGATATCTCTTATAGTTTTCGAATAAAACGGCTGGCACACTTATATCAATCACCCTGTATTTATATAGAATATAAGTTCTAATTATGGAACTAAGTCAGGAAGCAAGCGGGGAGCCCTTCTGGCTCGCCCGGCTATTGAAATGTAGGAAATTACAACTTAGCCGGTTGGCTGCCTTCTGCAGCCAACCTTCTCAAACCTGAAAACTTAATCACATGTTCCCAGAATGTAGCTTCACAATTATCAATCAAATTAATATATGTATTTTCATTCAGCATTTAATTTACGGACTATTTTATTCACTCATCAATATTAGTAAGTAATTATCCATGTACAGTTCATAGTTGGAAGGATAGGTTCATAGTTAAATAGTTAGTCAATTATTGTAAATCAAAGCTGGCTAGGCAAGTGTTCTGATCTGGGTAAAGATCTCCGTCCCTCTGGTCCCCAGCAATCTTCCTAATTTTATTGGTAGCAGATTCAGCACGCTTAAACTAAGTTTGGTCCAGACGCAGCTATTCCTAACCTATTAGCATTACCCTGTTTATTCCCTCCTGACTCCCCGAATTCCCAGCGATATCCCACACCATATCACACCATTAACCTAACAACCCATCACTTCATATGAACAGCCACGAAAAGCCAGACAAGACCCGCCTCGCTGGCTATGCCGACGACGTCGCCGCTCTGGTTGCAGGCAGAACCATAGCTTAAACTTAGTGTAATGATGCTCCGTGTCAAGGAGTGGATGCAGGAGCACGGCTTGTCATTGGCGGTCGAAAAAACAGAGATCGTGGTCCTAACCGAGATAAGAATTCCCACCGTCCTCCTTTGCAAGTAGGCCATGCCCAATTGGAGACCAAGCCCAAGCCGTGTGCCAAGTAACTTGGTGGTATGATTGATATCAAAATGTCTTTCGGCGTACAGATTAAGCGTAATGTTGACAAAGCCACTAAGAGAGTTGTTGCCCTTAGTAGGCTTATGCCAAAAGTTGGGGCCCCTGCACCTGCAAGCGCCACCTACTGATGTCTGCCGTCCAACCAGTACTCTTGTACGGTGCTAAGGTCTGGGCCCATGTGCTGGAGAGGCGTGTTTTCCGTGAGGGTGAGGTTCAGGACTGTACCACACATTCCACTTGGAGATATGAGACTCCACTCAAATTTTGGAGTTATGAGACTTTGGTTTAATTTTTACTTGGACTTATGAAACTTTGGAGTTATGATCATTTGGACTTATGAAACTTTGGAGT